GATATGTAGAGAGCAAATATTTTCTCCCATTCTGTAGGCTGTAGGCTGTCTATTTGCTCTAATGATAGTTTCCTTGGCTGTGCAAAAGCTTTTTAATTTGATCAGGTCCCATTTATTTATTTTTGTTGCTGCTGTGATTGCTTTGGGGATCTTCTTCATAAATTCTTTGCCTAGGCCGATGTCTGAAAGAGGCTTCCCTACATTTACTTCTAGGATTCTTAAGGTTTCATGCCTTGGATTTAAGTCTATTATCCATTGTGAATTGATTTTTGTTAGAGATGAGAGGTGTGGATCCAGTTTCAATCTTCTGCATGTAGTTATCCAGTTTTCCCAGCACCATTTATTGAAAAGAGATTCTTTTCCCCAGTGTATATTTTTGTCTGCCTTGTCAAAGATTAGATTACCATATGCGGATAGTTTCATCTCTGGATTCTCAGTCTTGTTCCAAAGGTCTATAGCTCTGTTCTTGTGCTAGTACTATGCTATTTTAGTTACTATAGCCTTGTAGTACAGCTTGAAGTCTGGTATACTGATACCTCCCAGTTTGTTCTTTTTGCTTAAGATTGCTTTGGCTATGTGAGATCTTCTCTGGTTCTATACGAAGTGTAGAATTATTTTTTCTAGATCTGTAAAGAATAATGATGGTACTTTGATAGGGATTCATTAATTCTGTAGATCACTTTAGGTAGCATGGACATTTTAACAATGTTGATTCTACCAATCCATGAGCAAGGTAGATTTTTTCCATCTGTTTACATCTTCTACAATTTCTTTTCTTAATGTTTCATAGTTCTCTCTGTATATGTCTCTCATCTCTTTTGTTAAATATATTCCTAGATATTTAATTTTCTTTGAGGCTATTGTAAAAGGTACTGCGTTTTTTATTTGAATTTCGGCTTGACTGTTATTGGCATATATGAATGCCTCTGATTTGTGAGTATTGATTTTATATCCTGAGAGTTTACTGAATACATTTATCAATTCCAGGAGTTTCTTGGTTGAATCCTTGGGGTTTTCTAGATATAATATATCATCAGCAAAGAGTGAGAGTTTGATCTCTTCTGCCCCCATTTGGATACCCTTAAGTCCCCTCTCTTGTCTAATTGCTCGAGCAAGGACTTCCAGCACTATGTTGAATAGAAGTGGACACAGTGGCGAACCTTGTCTGGTTCCGGTTCTAAATGGGAATGGTTTCAATTTTTTCCCATCCAGTATTGTATTGGCTGTGGGTTTATCGTATATGGCCTTGATAATTTTAAGGTATATCTTGTCTGTGCCTGAAATAATTTAATTTTTTAAGACTTGCTTTTAATCCTTGTTAGGTGAGATCAGGGAAGCCTTTAGTCTAGGGCTAATTTTTCCCCACTACTAAAACACTCTTCTGAGTGCTCCCCTCTATGTCCCATGTATTATCAGGTTTGGGGGAACACAAGCTATTTCAGCCTGTGTGGGATCTGAGAATTATTCTGCCTGTTCCTTTCTGGTGGTTCTTTTCCCAGCCTCAGGTAGACTCTTCCTTCATGCATGAGCTGATCAGTACTTACCTGAAGACTGGAAGGGAGTCCTCTGCAAATCTTCAGAGCTCTCTCTCTCTCTTTCTTTCTTTTTCTCTCTCTATGCAGCTATCTCCTCTCTGCTACTCCATCTATGAATTATAGCACTTGTTACCTGGTGTTAAATCCCTGAATAGTTGAATTCCTGGATAATATTTGAATATTTGAATTTCGGAATTATAACTAGGTTGCTATAAGAGATTAAAGTGGCTAAGAAATTCCTCTCAGGAATAACCCTCAACATAGTAGCCTATGTTTAGCTTTCATAAATATTTACAGTATAGCTATATGTTTGTTTATATAATTTATACATTGATATTATTTATACATCTATATAGCAATAATTATATATATACTATATACCTATTATATATAATTGCCTATTATATATAATAGGTAGGGAGGTGTGTTACATTTCCTCAAGGTTTGATATGTTCTATTTACCATTAAAATGCAGTCTGCCTGCAAATTTTTCATTTTTTTATATATTAGCAAAATAGCAGTATTATACTGATTACTAATGAGTTTAGTATTTTCATTAGAAGGAATTTCTACTTGCTCTTTAATCAAGTCTAATCTAACTTTCATCACATCCTGTTGGTATATGCATGGTTAAATTTTGAGACTAGTACAATATAATGGTATTATTTATAAGAATAGTATATTATCGTCTTATTTTATCACTTAATCATGCAGAATGATCAAAAGGGAGACTATTTCAAATACTCCTTTTATTTTTTCAGATTCCGTGATCCATTGGAAAGTGATAGTGTTGTAGTTCATGCCATACAAAGTGACCACAAGATATCCTCCTATAGGCTGGTGCAGCCCTCTAAGTACTCCAAATTCAAAAGACCAAGTCAATCAGAGAGAAGATCAAGCAAATTGGAGAGGTTTGAAAAAGAGGGAGTTGGAAGAAAGGATAGCCAGAGAGATACAGGTACCCTAAATCGGTGGTCCCCAACCCAGGCTGCAGACCAGTACCTGTCTGTAGCCTATTAGGGACTGGGCTGCAGAGCTCTGCACGCCCACAACCTTCCTTAGGAATGTGGGTGAGGGTGGGGTCCGCAGAGCAGGAGATGAGTGGTAGGGGAAGAGAGTAAAGCTTCATTTGTATTTGTAGCCGCCCCCCATCGCTGGCATCACTGCCTGAGCTCCACCTCCTACCTGCCCTCACACCATGTCTGTGGAAAAAATTGTCTTTCATGAAACCAGTCCTGGTGCCAAAAAAGTTGGGGACCACTGGCCTAAATGACAAGAAGTCTTTTACATCCTTACTTATTAAGACTTCAAAACTAAAGTGTCTTTTTGCAGGCAGAACATTTGAATCTTCTTTGGTGGGTTGAACTCAGTCTCTTGCCCCATTCCTTCCATGATGGTCTCCTTTGCAATCAATAATCAAGAGAGGTGGGGTATGCGGTATGGTTGAGAATGAGAGGCCACATATCTCCAGCAAATGCCACCTACCCACTTTCCTCTTTATTGGAGGTTGCTGAAGAAAACTACCCTGGTTGTGTGACTGAGAGTAGGTGAGAGTACTGGATACTGCTGTTTTCTCACTTCCCATATCCAGATGTTCTTAAATCTAGGACAATGTTAGATTAAAGAATGAATGTTTATTTCTGAGCACTGTTTCTTTTCAGATTCCTGGGCCCCACCATAGAGTATGGGGCTAAAACACTGCATTTCAAATTATTTTCCAAAAACATATGCTTTAAACAGAATGAAGAGCTGAGAATAGGGCTGTGAAAATAGTACCTCTAATCCCTGCAGCCTGTTTCTTGTGGCTGCCCACAAGGTAACTGCAGATGAGTAGGGGGAGGACAAGATTCTGGGAACGGTTTGGAGAGCCCAGTCAGGAATTAATAAAGGGTGCTGCAGCCTGGCCAGATCTAGGCTGTTGCCCAGTAATATAGCACTGACGTTAATGCTGCTTCTTCCTCTTCATTGAAAGATCTTTAATGTGTCCTTTCTGCTTCTAAATTCTGAAACCATTATCCTGGTATTTATTCCTTCCACAATCTATCCTGATTCTATGTTTGCAACAGTGCCTTCTCATACTATTCCACTTGCCTGTTTAGTTATTGACCTGCTTGCTCTCCCTAATTATGCCTCATACTTCCTAATTCCACACCCAGGCTCCTGCTGGAGTGACCTCTTCGCTCTTCTCCTCTCTAAATTCTACCAGTTTTGGGGGATCTAGCTCAAACTACACTTATGTTATAAAGCCTTCTCATGACCACCCAGGCCACATGAAACTCTTCTTTTTCCATATTGCCACATATTTGAAATATGAAATGGTGACATAATGATATAACTCTCTCATATTATTTAATTTTTTTCATGTCTATCTAAATTATATCTTTATGTAGCTTGAACATGAATAATTTCCCAGTAGACTTGTTAATTGATAAAGCCAAAAATTTTAAATCATAGATTTGATTGTGTGTTTCTGACTAGTTTTTTAATTGGCTGCAGAGCACTTCAAATTGCATGTGTCAAATAGGACTCACTTGCTTCTTCCCCCTTTCCCCAC